TATATATATATATATATATGTATATATATATGTGTGTGTGTGCATGTGTGTGTGTGTGTGTATAATTAAATGCAAAATAAAAAATTTAAAATGTTGCAATCTGCACTAGCACAGATGCTTTGATTGTCAGTGAAGCTCTTGGTGCAAACATCTCTTTTTAAAAGCTTTGTGAACAACATGGATGTGCAAAATCCTGATTTGCGTCCAAAAAAAGTACATAATCATTGATAAATCCAGGCCTGTGTTCAAATATTGAAAACAGTACAAATTTAATATTTTGAACATCTACCCTTCAAAATGTATTACATGTCTACTGCAGGATTATTGGCTTGCTGATAGTTGTAATACATGTAAACAGATCTCACTTGTAAATGAGTCTTCGAGGCTCAGTGTGATTTATCTGTATAAATAAAGGTTGAATGAACATGTTCAAATTAAATATCTATAACTTAATGAGTACTTTACTTATAAACCTCACTTGATCTAAAGTGTGCTCTTGTACAAATGACAAATATTGAGCTTATGCAGCATTTTATTTCTGTACCTTGTAAATTGGTGATTAAAAAAAGCGATCTGTTTAGTCGATCAACCCATTAGCGTTCCTTGTCTTGTGTTTCAGAGATAGCAAATATACATTCTTGTTTAATTAATTTTTTGCCTTTGACAAAATTATCAAGACTTCCAACATGTTTTTCCTTTATTTTTATTGACTTCTTCATCTTTGCTGGTTGTCTTTGCAGGTGGGCAATCTGGGTCTACTCTTCATGCTCCTCTTCTTCATCTTCGCAGCACTGGGAGTGGAGCTGTTCGGTGACTTGAGTATGGACACATGCACTATTTAAACAGTTAAACTGGGAATATCAGCTTGCACAGGCATGAACCAAATGTTCAGTGCTACTCTCAGTGGGTTCAATCTCCCTGATTTTAATTGCTTTCCATAATCCTTTGTTGAAACACCATATTGATCACTCTAAATGTGTACCAGAGTTTTTCACATTTATTACACAGAATCTCTAATTATTTGACTTCTAAGCCCTGGGAGAAGTCACGAATGTTAACATCCTCCCATCCGTCTTTTGATCTCTGTTTCTGTGTTCGTTTTCCGTCTGTTTTGACAGTTTGCGATGAGCTCCATCCATGTGAGGGTTTGGGTCGTTACGCCACTTTCAGAAACTTTGGGATGGCATTTCTGTTGCTCTTCCGAGTTTCCACTGGGGACAACTGGAATGGCATCATGAAGGTAACACCATCAAAGACACGACACGTGCGTGCTCATATTTAACTACACTAGCATTCAAGGGTTACATATGCACCTTTTGTAGTGATGTCCTTTATAATTGTTTATGTGACAGAGCATGTCTGTTTCGTATTTCATGTTTTGCTTTGTTGTTTTAATCAGCAAGCTTTACTAAACCATCCCTAAAAGATGCATCTGTTTTTAGATATTTGTGCTGATGTAATCCAATTAATTTTAATATAAAGTGTCATTCCTTGAGTGAATGATATTAACAGACCAGAAATGCACCACTCTGCACAGAAGAGAAACAGAAACTAAACAGTTACACGTTAAATACATGTCTTCATACAACTAATAGTTACCTCAACAAACGCCATTTTATTGTTACAATGTGCTCATGGTGTGTTTTCACCTTTCATTCAGGACACGTTGAGAGACTGTGCCCAGGACACGGGGACCTGTTACAACACTGTGGTTTCTCCCATCTACTTTGTGTCCTTCGTTTTGACGGCTCAGTTTGTGCTTGTCAACGTGGTCATCGCGGTGCTCATGAAACACCTGGAGGAGAGCAACAAAGAGGCGAAGGAGGAGGCAGAGCTAGAAGCAGAGTTGGAGCTGGAGCTACAGATGGAAGGGGCAGACACAGGGACAAGGTCACCCCAGCTCAACCCTCTTGCACTGGGTATAGACAGGTCAAGTTCAGGGGGTTCCCCCTGGAGGTCCACTGGAGGTGGGGACATGGAGCAGGATAGAGAAGGTCCTATGGACCCGCTCACTGCTGATATAACCAGAGACTCTGTAAACATCAGAGCTGAACCACCCTCTTGTCCAGAGCCACAGCTGGAGGTAAATGGCCATTTATTTTTATACATTGCATGTGGCAGGGTTGTTCTTACAATGTGGTACTGGTGCATCTGTGTTTCATTGTGCTTTTAGATTTAGATTTTTATTGATATAAGGGAAAATGGACTTTCAAGAAAAATAAAAGTTAAAGGTTTGAATCTATGAACATATAGGATGTTTTTGCTTAGTGATAGAAACTCTGAATGTTAGGCCCCAACCACAATGGGCCCTATGTCTCTATGATTTCTACAATCTACACAACTTATTTGCAAGTGGCAGGATTGTAACAAATTTTATGAACCACCTTCAGTGCGAAGGCAGTTACAGTTATGTACACTACTGCACTTGTGGGACTTGCCAAGTACAGTAGTTCTTAATATGCATCTCTGCATTGCTCTCCTGCACGTCATAATGTATGCGCCCCACTCCAGCACAGTTTTCTATGACTGCACCAGGATACATCTGTGAGTATATGGTCTACTCTGAGTAGACTCAAAATTTTGTAGCAATCGTGTTTGAGTCAAGGCTGAGGCTAACGTGACCAATCATACTTCAAATTGTAGAAAAAACAAAGTTATTTTCATGTATGCAGACCCCAGGTAGTAGATATGCTGTCATCATGCTCCACCCAGAACCATGACAGGCTGCCATCATTATAAGAAACTAAAACAAATTTGTTACCATTGTTTTTTGCATGCTTAAAACCAGCATAGACCTATCAGATGTAACGGAGAGACAACTGTCTTTTTAGTAAGCCACTGAAGACCTCACCTCCTGCTTAGAACATCCCTGTTTTTATTTTCCATCGTAGCGGGTTCATCATCGGATCACTGGGTGCTTCAAGACATCCCTTCCAATTTGCCAGATTTTACAAATAGTTTCTAAAAACTTTCCCAACTGTTTAGTCAATATGTACGTTTGCAAAGGCAACAAAATCAAAGTTTTGATATGCTTGTTCTTTCCAGCTGCAACAGATGTTCTGAGGTCACTTCCTGCTGGTCCCATGCTGGAAAATCAGTTGTATTGTCAGTTTCTGATCATCAAATTGACTTGTTGATCCATCATCTTTACCTGCTTCTTCCTTTTTGAGTCATGGGAGTCACTGGCATCCATATCCAGCTATCACTGTGCAATAAGCAAGGGACACCCTGGACAGGTCCATTACAGGGCCACATAGAGACAAACGGGACAAACAACCATTCACTCTCTCTCACCTAGGGACAATTCAGTTACCAATCAGTCTAACATGTATGTTTTTGATCTGTGGGAGGAAACCGGAGTACACGGAGAAAACCCACGCAGCACTGAGAGAACATGCTAACTCCACCCAGAATGTCCCCCAGGCCGGAATTTGAACCGGAGATCTTCTTGCTGAGAGGCAGCAACTCTACCAACTGATCCAACGTGCCGCCTTTGACTAGTTTAGTCCAAGTCAGTTTAGTAGTCACGAACTGTCCTTCTGCTGTTCACTTTCTTTATATGAATTAGTTATTGAAAACAACTAAATCTGACGTGGTAATGGGCGGTACTCATGAGACAATTGGACATTATACAGTATAAACATATTTATTGTATACAACCCTTGTCCAATATTAGAAATGTGCCTGATTATCAGTAATTCTCCCTTTAGGTGCTAATCCTTTGGTAAAATATGTTTTTAACATCACATGTACAAAACAGGCACTCTTTACTGATTAGACACATTTGTGGAAGCATGTGGGTCGTTTACTCAACAATCAGAACCGCATTCGTGTTCATTATTCTGTGAGATTCTGACTCATACCGGGATGGTTCACAGTTTGTGTGTGTGAGTTACTGTGTGATTGTGTGTGCATGTGTGTGTGTGGTAGCAGGGGGATGGGTGGGTTTGTGCCAGTCCCTGAAGGCACCATGCCAGTGTCAGACAGGTCACAGTGCCGTGGGAAAGGTGAACCCTGAGGTCTTGTTGTTCACTTCCTCGGCTATTTCCAGACGACAGGGACCTTTTAGGGAAAGGAAGTAAGATGTCTTGCTATTGTCATCTTTCCTCTTTCAGACTTCTCAGTATATGCTGCAGTGCTGTAGGAGTGTCCCCCTGTGGTTCTGAAGGATAGTGCATGTGAGCGTTAGTGGATTTGGATAAGAGGTTTTAAATGCAGAATGTTTAGTTGGTAAACCCTATAAAGATACTTTTGATATCTAATCTAGTTCTTCAACTTGTTTTTATCTGTCATTCATGTTCATGTTTCTGTATATTCTTCCCTCCTTTCTTTCAATGTGACCTTCTTTATGCATTTATTTATGTATTTCTGTGTATATTTATCTGTCTTTTCTTTCATTTGTGTCCCATTCTCGTCTTGTCTTTCAAATTTTCCTCCCCATTCGTTCTCTCTTTTCCTGTCTCCTCCCCTTATCTTTCTGCATTATTCAAGTGTATCCAGCGGAGAGCACTGTTTGACACAGTCTCCCTGGTCATCCAGGGTTCAATGGAGGGCGAGCTGAGCTTGATGGACAACCTGTCGGGCTCTGTCTGTCACTACTACGCGCTGCCTTCCAAGCCCAACAAGCACAGCTCCAACAAGAAGGTCAATAATCTCCAGAAACACTCCAGATGACTCACTTTCCTTATGACACCCAGTCGTTCTCGCTCTGCATTATGAAGAGTTAAATGTTTTGGGGGGTTTTTTCTGCACAAAAAACAATCATAATTAAAATATAGCATAGCCTGAGAAATGTTCTATTTTGGCTAGAGATGTTTAAACATAGCAAAGTATTATGTTACTACAACAAAACAAAAGTAACATAATTAAATTGATTTTCTTAATAAACAGAAATACACGGTCCACAGGTTTGTCTGACCTGTGTACAGAGTTCCTTGGTCTTCATGTTATCTTGTTTTACTGACAGATGTTGATTCTAGGCAAAGATAGGAGTAAAATAGTGAGAATATTTGACATGCAGACCAAAAGAGGAGCTTCAAAGTAAAAAAAAAAAAGTGGTCACAAGGATGCTCCAATTTTTGTTATATTTTCTAAATATATTTATATAACAAAATTATCCTAATAAATTTCATTAATCAATAGTATTTTGTGTTGATTTATTAATGATAAAAAGTACTTTTCATTTTAAAGTTTGGGGGAGTGGTGGCGCAGAGGTTAGAGAAAGGGGGGCCTGTGATCGGAAGATCGCCGGTTCAAGCCCCGGTACGGACAACATCAAAAATGTGGGTGGGGTAGGTGAAGTACCCACAACTGCCCCCACCCTCACTCACCCCACTCTGGGTCCATGAGCAAGGCCCTTAACCCCCATCTGCTCCCTAAACAGGTCTTTCTTGAAAATGAGTTCTCGTGGCTCAATGAGACTACCTGGATAAATAAAGGGTAAATGAAAAAATAATAATTCCATGTTATGAGTTAGTAACAAAACGATTACTGAAAGGTGGGTGAATATTTTTACCATCCACTGTGTTGCAGTCCACTACTCTCAGCATTTAGTACTTAATACTCTTCTAGTTTCTTTAACGATCAGCAGAAAGTGGTCTAAGAGATAAAGACTAACCTTGCTGTTCATTTATGGATTAAGCATTTTTATAGTTAGTGCATAAATATATTAGTGCATAGTCTGGGTTGCTAATAACAGCTTTCTCTAAACTTTGGGACAATTTTCTAGTAAATTAATGTAAACTGTGAATGTAATTATTATTTTCTTAATTACGCTGTGTATTTATAAAAATAATATTAATAATTTATTTATTTTTTCATTATGAATTTATTCATAAGGACAGTGAACGTTAATCAATTTTCCACAAATATAAATGTGCCATAATTAGCACAATAGCTACATTTTATTGGTTGTCCTAAGCATATTATTGTTATTAACAACAATAATAATTATTAATAATAATAATAATAATAATAATAATAATAATAAGTTCCCTCTCACAAGCAAAAAACATGCATGTTAAGTTAATTGGCAACTTAAAATTGTCCCTGTGATGATGATAATAATAATAATTATTATTATTATTATTATTATTATTATTGTTGTTGTTGTTGTTATTATTACCTGGACGTGTCTCCAGTCCATCACAGGGACACGTAGAGACAAACGAGACAAACAATCATTCACTCACTCACACCTAGGGACAATTTAGAGTTACCAATCAGCCTAACATGCATGTTTTTCGTCTGAGGGAGGAACTCGAAGTATCCAAAGAAAACCACGCAACACCAAGAGAACATGCAAACTGCACCCAGAAAGGTCCCCGGCCATGATTCATTCCCGATCGAATATTGGGGAGTGGTGGTGAAGAGGTTAGAAAAGGCTAGTCTTTGATTGAGAGGTTTGAACAGTGGTGAGAACTTGTCTTTAAGAAATCAACTAAAATCCTGAACCTAATGCTTCAAAACAGGTGTTCACAAATCTCTGTGTGTCATCATCTTCATACATGGAAATATAGTGCTGCAGTTAAATATAAATATTAGTTGGGTAAAAATGGAAAATTGTGAGAAAAGTGAGATGAGCTACACTGACTCAGTTCAGACTACAAATCTTAAAAGATCCTTCAGTTTTTGAGCTAACACAAACTTTTTGACACAATGTTGGCAGTAAAATGGTTGTGCAAAGAAGTCCATGCTGTCTGAAGAACTTGAGTATAAGGTTCAGTGAAAGACTTTAATGTGATGTTTATCTTGCAGCCTTTCAACCTTTACCATTTATGTACTGGCATTCCTCAACTATGGATATTTTCTCTTTTCTAACCAGTTTTGTTAAACCCTCAGCTGCTCTCGTTCCTCAATTCCATTTGTGTTTGGCAGGTTCTTGGTTGGCTTCAGCAAGCTTTACCTCCCTTACACACTTTGCTGCCATTCAGTGTGTGTATGTGTGACGTGCGTGTTTGTGTAAATGATTACCGTCTTTTCCTGTCAGTCACAGCCGTGTTTTAACTCACCCAAGGCACTTCTGAGGCCAGCTGAGCAAACTCTTACAGTTCTGAAGAGAAATGGCTCAATCGGCTGGTGGTGGAGGCGCTGAATATTGCATCATGATGCCTTGTTTTCTCATTTAGGATGAAAATGTGCAGTTACCTTGGAATAGTAAACTTGTATCCTCTAAAAGCTTTAAATGGCTTGCAGTGTCAGAATTAGATAGAAAAGGACAGCCTTTTCTTTCTGGTTACTTACCAGTAAAGTTTTCCATTCAGTACCAGCTCCTGTTTCTGTGTGGACTTCCAGTTTGCCTGTCAGAAAGCATTTCCCTTGTTAAACTAGAAGACTATCCAGCAGCTTTTCATCATCGTTGTTTAACATCCAGACGCCCAGACTGAAACCAAATTCTGCAGATTTTAGAATTAATTACATCTTTCATTTTACATTCTAAACTTTATTATTTTACATTTAAATGTTGTCTGCATAGTTAAATTTCTCCTAATTGCATTGTATTGTATCTCTGAAAGTGTGGCTGTCTCCTTTTCAGCATTTCTAGTCGATTGCCTTTACATAGATTCACGTAACTGTATTTTGCTCTAATTGTTTGCATCTCAAATAGGCCTCAAATAGTTAAATCAATAATTTATTTTAGCAAAGTAAAGTCAGGCTCTCTGGACGGATTCTTCTTGTTGAAACATTTAGTCTTTTTGGCCAAAAGACTTTGCCAGTCTGCGGACCTGCAACAAACTCAGTCTTATGAATAGCACCTTCACATAGTGGATCAACCAGTTTGCTGGTGACATCCAGAACTAGCTGTTCATATGATAAAGGAGGCCCATCAGCCTAACAATTGGTCATTAGTGCTTTGATGGCCGCTTGCTATTCACAGAGGTATAGCAAGCATGCTCAATAATCCACCTGGATTATTGAGCATGAACTTTGGTATTTACAGAGGGCTAAGTGATTGTAAGAGGGGGACAGTTGAACACAGATGCCTTCACCCCTTTTTAATGATGGACAGGTTCTCATAAAGGTGGCTTCCTTCACTCCTCTCTCAAACCAACATTCCTTTCTTTTGTTCCTGCAGATGAGTAAATGGCAGAGTCCTGGCCTGATGATGTTGCTCTTCTGTGCTGGGCCATCCTTTGGCCAGTGGCTGTTTAGTTTCCCTGATGAACTGATCACAGCCTTCCTGGCACTGAACAGCTTATACAATTTTACTCCTGGATATCCTAACTGGGTCTTTCTGAAAAAAGTGAAGAAACCCAAACAGGACTCCAGCAAGCCATCAGGTGAAAAGGATAACTCTAAACCCAGACCAGTGTTCATTCCGTATGTTTCAGGAGTTTCAGAGAAACTGAGACATTTATTTTGTAAACACGATGTCCCAATGGCTTTCAAATCCCAAAATGCTGTACATTATGGCAAAGACTGTGGCAAAGACTGCAAGTATCACTCAGCTCTCTGTGAATAGCAAGTGGCCATCAGGGCACAAATGTTCTATTGTTAGGCTGATGGTTTTTCTTTTGCATGTGAAAAACTAGTTATGAGTATCACCAGCAAACTGGATGATCCACTATGAAAATATGCAAAAGACTGATGGAACTTTGCCACTGTCTCAACTCTCATCGGCTCCACACATCACAGCACTAGTTAAGGGCCTGCCCACTGTCGGTATCCACACCACTCAGCTTGGTTTATGGGACAACCTTGTTTGATGTTCCAAGTGGGCTGCTCTGAGTGGCTGATTTTTATGTAAGCAGATAGGAACCATCGATTGGCCAGCAGAGCTATGCCACTGGAAGACCCACCAAGCAAAACTGAAAACAATATCTGAACCTCCACTTCCTTATGGTGTTGATGGATGACAGCACAAGAAATGAACGCATTTACAGAGAGATACTGGAAATGATTGCACAGCATGGCTAAACCTGGATTTATAAGCAGTGCCGAGGTAGCCATCCATCCATCCACCCATCCATCCATCCTTTCATCCATCTATTATCTTCCAATTGATCCAAAGTTGGGTCGCAGGGGCAGCAGCTTGACCAGGGAAACCCAGACATCTCTTTCCACAGCCACCTCTTCCAGCTCTTCTGGGAGGATTCCAAGGTGTTCCCAGGCCAAGTGAGATATGTAGTCTCTCCAGCCTGTCCTGGGTCTTCCCTGGGGTCTCCTCCCAGTTGGACATGCCCAAAGCACCACCATAGGGAGGCGCCCAGGAAGCATCCTTATAAGATGCCTGAACCACCTCAACTGGCTCCACTCAATGTGGAAGAGCAGAGATTCTACTTCAAGTCTGATGACTGAACTTCTCACCCTATCTCTAAGGGAGAGTCCAGCTACCCTGCTGAGGAAACTCATTTCATCCGCCGGCATCCACAATCTTGTTTGTTTTTTGGAGGGGGGGGTGTCTTTACCCACAGCTCATGACCTTAAGGGAGTGGTGGCGCAGATGTTAGAGAAGGTGGGCCTGTGATCGGAAGATCTCCGGTTCAAGCCCCGGTACCGACAACATCAAAAATTTGGGTGGGGTAGGTGAAGCACCCACACCTGCCCCCAACCTCATTCGTCCCACTCTGGGCCTTTGAGCAAGGCCCTTAACCCCCACCATCTGCTCCTCCAGGTGTCCTAGATAGCAGCTCTCTGCTCCACACAGAGGGCTGTGGTAGCTTGATGGTCTGTGGTTGCGTCAGGAAGGGCATCTGGCGTAAAATAACTGCCAAATCTTCGTGCGACTTAGTTCACTGTGGTGACCCTTAATGCAGGGAGCATCCGAAAGAGAGAAAAAAAAAAAACACAGCTCATGACCATAGGTGAGGGTAGGAATATAAACGGACTGGCAAACAGAGAGTTTTGCCTTGAAGTTCAGCTCCCTCTTCACCACAACAGACCGGCTTAGAGTCCGCAATATTGCAGATGCTGCACCAATCTGTCTGTCAATCTCACGCTCCATTCTTTCCTCACTCGTGAACAAAACCCCAAGATACTTGAACGCTACCACTTTAGGCAGAACCTCACCCTTGACCCAAAGAGAGCAATCCACCCTTTTCTGACTGAGGACCATGGCCTTAGATTTGGAGGTGCTGATTCTCATACCAGCCGTTTCACACTCGGCTCCAAACTGCTCCAGTGAAAGCTGAAGGTCACGGCACAATGATGCCAACAGGACCACATCATCTGCAAAGAGCAGAGATGGAATCCTGAGGGCACCGAACAACAATCCCTCTACCTCCAGTCTGCACCGGGAAATTTAGTCCATAAAAAGTTATGAACAGAATATGTGACAGCGGGCAGCCCTGGAGGAGGCCACCACCCACCCTGAAGTGGTCCGACTTAATATTGATAATATCAACCAAATTCCCACACCGCTTATATAGGGATTGGCTCCTAATCCCAAACTCGCAGAGCACCCCTCACAGTGTACCCCAAGGAACGTGGTCAAAAGCCTTCTCCAAGTCCACAAAACATGTAGACTGGATGGGCAAACTCCCATGACTAATCAAGGACCCTAGTGATGGTAAAGAGCTGATCCAGTGCAACACGGCCAGGACAGAACCCGCATCGTTCTTCCTGGATCTGAGTTTCAACCAACGATCTGACTCGCTTCTCCAGTATCCCTGAATGGACCTCACCAGGGAGGTTACGGAGAGTTACACCCCTAGAATTGGAGCTCACCCTCTCTTCTCCCTTTTTGAAGAGCGTAACTACCACCCCAATCTGCCAATCCAGTGGCACTGCCCCTGATGTCCATGCAATGTTGCAAAGGCGTCTTAACCAAAGACAGCCCTACAACATCCTAAGCCTTAAGGAAATCAGGATGAATTTTTCCCACCCCAGGACCCTGCTGCCTCTGTGCTTTTGAACTACCTCAGCAACCTCAGCTACAGTTATGGACACACCAACCTCAAAGTCCCCTGACTCAGCTTCCTCCATGGAAGACATGCAGGTGGGATTAAGAAGGTCCGAGAAATATTCCTTCCACCTCTTGATGACATCATTGTTTGAGGCCAACAATGGCCTACCTTCACCGAACACAGTGTTAATAAGTGTTGCTTTCCCCTCCTCAGTCACCTGTTGGTTCGCCAGAATTTTCTCAAAGCCGACCGAGAGTCTTTATGCAAGGCCTCATTGAACTTCTCCCACATCTCAGCTTTTGCCTCAGCAACAGCCAAGGCTGCAGACCCTTTGAACCTCTGGTACCCCTCAGCTACCTCTGGAGTCCCACCAGAAGACTTATCAGAAGACTTATATGGACAAAGAAAAACAAGGAACTCAGTGTCCCTTGTCTGGACATGCATTACCGAGGCCCTACCCTGGAGCCAGGCCTGGAGGAGGGGCTCGTCAGCAGGCGCCTGGTGACCAGGTTTCTACCCAAGGGCCTGGTTGGGCCCAGCCCAAGGAAGAAACATGGTTTTACCTTCCTGTGTGCCCACCACCTGCAGGAGGAGCCATGCAAGTCAGGTGCACAATACCATGGGCAGTGGCCAAAGGCGGGGACCTTGGAGCTCTGACTCTGGCTTACCAAAGCTGGCTGTCTGGCAGTGCTGAGATAAGCTAACAATATTTGAGTCTGATTATAGATGATTACCTACCACAATGGGCAGAGTGGGTCAAACAGACACAAAAAGACCGGTAATGATCCTGTCCACTTTGCATTGATGATCCCGCCCAGAGTGGGAAAACAGGTCAGCATCCACTATACACATGCCACTATAGTGGCAAATCACCTACACCTGAGAAAAAAATGAGAAGAGGAAAGCTGAGTGGAGCCACATACTAATGGCAGAACACCATGTTTGCTTGCAGCTCCTCGGACTGAAGAAGTCTTTTGGATAAAAGAGGAAATGTTTCGACAAAGAAGAACCATCCAGGAGCTGGTTCAAATCTTTAGATGGATCTAACTGGAGCATGCATCAGGACATTAATTGATATTTATTTCCTTGTTGTTTTTCTTCACCACAAAACTCCAATGTAAACTTATTTTATGACACCTACCTTCATTTTCTGCTAGCTTCAGGTTTTATTTGTGTACTTTATTATGTGTGTGCACCATTCTCTCTATTCACCACTGGTTCTCTCTTCCTGCCTAGATACCCCTAGCGGAGATGGAAGGTCTGTCTCTGGCCTCAGAAAAATCCTGGTCCCTAGCTCTGACAGATGACTCGGCCCCTGATGATTTTAACCCCCTCTTTCTAACCAGTCTGGAATGCAATGTACTGACAGTTCTTTTTTTTCTCCTTTGCCATCGCCCCTGTCACTGCTCTGTCCTGCAATAGTTTGTGCTGTCCTTCCCAGGGCACTTCCTCTGCCACTTGGACTCCTACTCACATTCTGGGGTGTAAAATATTTTAGTTGACAGGGGAAAAACCACTAGACCCAATGCTTTTTATAAGTGAAACTTTCAAATTCCTCCTGCATTTTAGATGTTTGTGTACTCGACAACGATAATGGTATTCTCTGACACCGAACCTTTTTGAGTGTAGGTCCACAAATACTGTTAGTCTAAAAAAAAAGATATAGGTACTCACCCTTTTGGATGTAACTGCTTTGTAGAATTTTATGTTTGCCTGTGTGATGTTACTGTTGTTCAGCAGAGTAGGGGGTGGGCGGTTATGGGGTGGTGGGATAAATACAAATGATAAAAAAAGTGTGACAAGGTTGCTGGAGGAGCACATTTGGCCGTGGAAGTGCAAATTTAATTATGTGCCTAAAATTTTATTTCTCACTCACCTTTCCAGCCTGGTGTCTGTCTTTTAATCCAGTTCAGTAGAGTAGTGCATCTCCTCACCTCAATATACACACCTCATCTGACACTTTTGTTACTTCCCATTTTTTACTCTGTGCTTTAGATGTGAATCCACGTCTCTTCTCCAAAGGTCTTTCGTTCGTATCATGTTCTGTCCTGTAGCACAGTAGTTCCTCTCTTCACCTGGAGTGGTCGTGTGTGTGCATACAGGATTGTAACGTGCGTTACAGCTTGTCAATCGGCTTTGAATGTGAACTGGTTCTGTAGCAGGTCAGGCTGTTGCTCGCTGCTCTAGACGACACACAATCATGGAGTGAGCTACCAGATAATTAAATAACTGTGGGATACAAGCGGATTTCTTATTTTTTTATAAATAATAGAAATTGATACATTTCTGCAATCTGTGGCAGCTCTGCTCCATTTAACTCCAATGTGTAAAGATGTGTGTTCTCTATGTATGCAGATGATCATTGCCTATTTGTTCATGTGGTGTTTTAGAGATCAAAGACGTGAATTCTGGTGTGTGTATGCGTGTGTGTTTGTGTGCCTAAGTAGGTTCTTCCCGGTGTACAGGGCCTCTGATTCTGTGCTTTGTTTGTCCAGCCAGAGGAGCTTTGTTCTGAGGGTCCTCTGAACGACAACCTGCTGAGCGTCAAAAAGCCTGCAGTGGGAAGGACCCACTCTCTGCCCAATGACAGCTACATGTTTTTCCCCCTGCAACCCTTGGGCCCATCTTCTCCAGCTCCAATGGGACTCGTAGCACAGCCACAAGAACCCCAACACATATTAGGCACCCACAGGGCCCAATCAGGTAAATAAATTATTTTGACAAATGGCTCTGAGAGTTGTTAAGGTGACATCTGCTCTCAAAGATCAAACTTATTACTTTTTCTTGGTAAACTGTGTTGTTGATTTGTCAGTTCTGTGCTCTGTGTGCAGGCTCCAGAGGCTCGGTCCAGTCGCAGCCGGAGGAGCGTTCTCAGCAGCTGACTGTCCCCACAGACTTCTTCCGACCCATCAGCCCCCACAGCCACTCAGACTCCGAGAGTGTACCGCGACAACATCCTTCCAGATGCACACATGCACTCAGTCGCACACTCCGCCGACAGGTGACTACACCACACCCAAATCCTCTTTTCACGTCTTTAGCCTTCAAACTCTGTGACTGTGAGAGTTGTTAACTATTAGTTGTGTCTAATCGTATCATAAACCTAATCTGATTTTAATTCTTAAACCAATAGGGGAAATGAGACCAAATTATTGAAATATTGGGAAAAAATGTCCCCACAACACAAAAAGATTGATGGAGACAAATTTATTTTACTGTTAAAAAGTGAAATATTAGAAACAATAACCCTTCCGTGATAAACTCAAGAGTTATCCAAGCCAGGATCAAAGTCAGTGAACACAAATTGAGCGGTCAACATGAGATAAGACAAGGTGATGGACGGGTGTCAATGAATACTGCAATAAGAAGTTCTTTGTAAAACTTTACAGAAACGTTGTATTTTTCATGCTTTCCAATCCCTTCCCTGAAGAGGTTTTAAAACTGTAACTTCAGATAAGCTGGTTCTGGTTCTGTGCATGTTCTGAATTATTTCACTCTTTCCTCTTTCTCTTTCATGCCCCTCCTGGTATTCCCATTAATTTGAATTTCATTTTTCCACTTGGTATCTATTATTCGTTTGATCTTAGCTCAGTTGGACCCAAAAGCCGCCAGACCCTGAGCTACTGCTCAAACACAGATACTCCTGTTTCTGAAGCTGCAAAAAGACTTTGGCTGTCATTGGGCCTTTCAGAAACACCGGACTCCATGTTCAGAGACTTTCAAACACATTATTTCATAAATACAGACTTCCCTCTTTCTCCATCTTTGTCCTCCATTCACTTGTTTTTTTTTTTTCTTACAGCTGCTGACCATCAACCACAAACAACATCCAGAACTCATAAAGTTGATATGTTGCTTGTCTCAACACTAAATTTAAAGACAGTTAACACCACAACCAGAGCTAAATTACATTTTGTTTAGATGTTTAGTAATGTCAGATGATGTATAATAGTTGGAGACAGGTGTAAGGTGGCTAAAATATCACCCAGAATGCAGTGCACTTAATATATTTTAAACTATACAACTCAGGGGATTCCTACATAAAATGCTGCCTGTGTGCATTTGGCCATTTTGTACTCACAGTAAGATGATAGAGCACCAGAGATTTTATAACACATATATTAATGCTTATAGCCCCTTTTGTTAAATTAATAATAATACGAAAAGCTAGAGTATTAAAAATTTTAGTATTGTTACATGTTGCACTTTTTAAAAATCTTTTTTGGTGACTGGTCATAGCCAAGTTGTGATAGCTTCGTTTGACCACTAGGTGGTTCTGTTGTTACACTGTTTAGTGCTTCTGCAGAGAAGTCTAGTTTCCTCCTTGCTGACATGTCAGGAGAATATCCATGACTTCATGAGCACATCTCAGCAGTCACTGTAACTTCTAACCCTTCCTTCACTGCAATTATTAACATTCACCCCTCCACCTGCTGACCTTGCACCCCCCAGTGTTAGTCTGAGTATTAGCAATCTGTCTCTGCTAATCTAGAGGTCAGAACCGAGGCTGCACTCATCATAATTAGTAAAAAAAAAAAAAACTTGTTTTAAATAAGAAGATGGTCTGCAGGGGATTGTGTCAAAAGGCAAGGGTTGGAGAGTCATATGACCCAAAGATCAAAGTGTTCACCAGCAGTAATACTCTGAATATTTATCTCCTGAATGAGAAGTTTTAAAGTCGGATTGTTTCTGTAGCTGTTTTTATTTGAGCAAACAACACCTCAAGTCTGGATTTTATCTCACACAAACAGGAAGAGGATTAAATTGCTAATGCTTACAATGAAAAAGTACTGTCTAGAGAAATTTATAAATTACCGTGACTGTGATACTGATGTGAAAACTGAAGCTGTCAGTTCCTATGAATTCAAATAACTTTTGACCTCCCCCCACCCCCACCCAAATTAAAATCTGGAGTTTAATTTTTGACTTTTCTTGGCTGATATATTTACTCTACAAAAAAAAAAAGTGCCAACGTTGGCAAAGTTTTACCAACATACGCATCTAAAATCCACGGTGAGTGGAAATGACCCCCCAGCAGTGACAACAGGCAGACTAAGAACACATCCAATTATGACAAAGGTGCATCCTCCTGACAAATGTTAACCTTGAAAAGTGAAACAATAAAAATCAAGTGTATAAACCAGTTTTTTTTTTGGTGGGGGGGGGGGGGGGGGGGGTGGGGTAAATGACAGGTAAATGTTACAACAGGTAGTGCAGACTGTGAGAAGTCACGGGACAGATGGTGAACTTTGACAAACCGCTGCTTCTCATCCTTCATTCCTTCATGCTAACTGCTCTCAGTCCTCACATTGCACATGTGCCTCCACGTCCCCTTCAGTATTTCACCTCCCCTCCTTTTCATGCCCCGTTCTCCAGGTTGCAGTGTCTACTGATTCTCAGGAGGCCCTCTGTTCGGACGGAGCGGGTGGGAGCAGTGAAGGACTTTTAAACGTGGCAGCTTTGGGCCTACCTCTATCCTCCTCCTCCTCCTCCTCCTCCTCCACCTCTCCTTACTCCTTCTCCCATCATCCTCATCAGCAGCAGCAACCAGCGCTCTGTCTGATTCCTGCCACACCAGGCACCTCTGTGTGTGCACGCCCCAGCAGCGTGCACACACAGCACCACGACCAACACTGCCTCACATCCTACTCCTCGTCCACCTCCCCTCTGCATCCCCCACTCTTACCAACCCCACTGCAGCAGCAGCAGCAAACGGAGGAGGAGGAAGAGGAGGAGGAGGCCACCGAGGATCAAGAGGTGTCTCTCATCACCTGTGGAGGACTGGCTGATAGCGACGACATCATCGTGGAGGATGGCAGCAGTGGCAGTAACGAGGGTTACCTTGGTCCCGCAGGCTGCCAGGAGAGTCAGAGTTCATGTTTGAGGCAGCTCAAGAGGTTCCACAGTGTTGACACGCAGGACCGTAGCACACTCCTGCCCCGCCCCCGCCCCCACTCCTGGTTGGACGACCCGCACCGCCACTCTGTGGAGGTGTGTTCGGCGAAAGACCGCAGGCCGCAGCACAGCACCCACTCCACCTCCTCCGGCTTCGTGTCCCAGACTGACAGCCTGCAGATGCACAGCCAGGTTCCTAACCAGAGCTCACTGCCCTCCCCCCGCCGCAAGAAAAAGACAAGCCCGCCCTGCATATCTGTGGACGCCCCCGACGAACTGGAGACACAGTCAGGCCTCTACCCCGTGCTAGGCGGACTGGGGGTGCCCCCTCCTCTGCTCAGCAGGGACACTTGTCTGAGAAGGAGAGTGCCCTCCAGTGACTCCAAGGACTCGTTTGACCTGGGGGTGGGAGAGGGCTCTGGGCAGGAGGGAGGCTTGCCCAACCCCAACCCCAAGCTATTGACACTTCCCAGCTTCTCTTTTGAGAAAACAACCTCTGAGCACTGAACACTGACACTCCAGCCACACACACACACCCAAACCCAGAGAAACATTCACACATACACACGTATACACACACGATGCACTTTGTGTGTCTTGTGACGGTGATAGTTCTAGTAATAATGCTGTAGAAAGTAATAACGGTAAAACTACAACAGTAAAACCATTCTTCATGAGGAGTGTGGTGCTGTAGTAGTGTGACCTTGTCTTTATATCGTTACTGCCAAAACTACCGGAGAAGACGTGAAGGCCTGCATCAACAAACATGACTGTTTCTTTTCTGTGACGCCTGCGAAGCCACCGGCTGCAGCCTGACCCCCGAACCTCCAGAGCAACACCAGCACCTGGTGGCGGTCAGAACCGCCTGGTGTTACCCAGGGAGGACCTGGTCAGTGGAGGTACCAAGCAATATGAACGTTTTAGAGACACTATTTTCTTAAATTATTGGGCCATAGTGTTTGTACAGGATGTTGTTTTTTTTATTTCATCCAAACTGTTC